ACGGGAGCAAATAAACTCGCCGCTATCCAAAATTACTAACAAGACTCTCGCACGAGTCCGTGGACTCGTCAGCCGTCCCTTCCACCTGGGCACCTCCTTCCAATTCCAGATAATTGTATTTCGAAATCCTCGGAACACCTCCCCGATGTACACCGACAGGAGCAAGCCTGATCAAGCCTGAGAAAGCACCAAGCCAAGCCGTCACTTCACAAACAGTTCTGACAGCCAGCAGCACGGCACAAGAGGGCCAACGTCCCAGAAGCACGGAAAGCACTCCACCATACGACAAAATACACTAGTTTGACAAGGTGAGGTAAAATAACCTGACAGATGAAGACGTAGACGACGTTGACTGCGGCCAAAAAAAGGGCCAAACGAGTCCACGATCAAAACAGTGTGCAGCATGCAGCTGCAGGTTCTGTGATCACGCGCGCGTGTACAAGCCAATCGGTTGAATCGTAGGTCTACACGCGATACCATGCATGCAGGCAGGATCTAGGATACACAACGACGTATCGTACATCGAGCTAGCTACGCATACTGTACACCAGTACACTCTTCACCTGTGACACCTGATCGATCACCGGTACGGAGTCGGTGTACCATGCCCGCACGAACGATCGTCTTTTTTAGCTTCTTTTTTTTTTAGCTAGCTGCACATGCAGTGACATGATGCACACGTAGACCGTCTACGTGGCCACACGCTAGCCTAGCCTGGCCTGTCACAACTCCACTGGACCCCAGGCTAGGCAGCGCAGATCAGAGCAAGCGAGTTTGGGCTCACTCCTGATCCTCCTCCTCCTGTCAGCTGTGTGAGACTAGTGCGTTCGCGAAAAGCTTCTTCCTTCACAGTCGACTCCAACTAACTTACAAGTACATGTAGCCCGAGCTGTGTAGATCTATGCAATTATTTTCTTTCTCGCAGTCCTTGGCTAGCTAGCTAGCTGGCGTGTTCCGGCTGACAAGTGGAAAGCAGATTCATGACCTTTTTCATCCATGCACACGGAACTCATTACATGTATTTTAGAGCCTCGTCCGTGATTTGCTACTCCTGTCACGGAGTAAAAAAAACTGCATATCCGAGTTCCAAGCTTCGACCCTCGACTGGACGGGAGTGAAGCGAGAGAGCAAGTCGGGCACAAGCTGTCGCAGCAGCTACACCAACAGAGCTATGCCTGATTGAATTTGTACTGTCAATGTCTAGGTAGCTGGCATGAATGAATACATTACTACTCCCTGGTGTTCACCTTCTTTTCAAGTCCATTGGCGCGTAGACTCTCTCTACGGGGCGAGGTGCCCAAACTGATTGGCAAATTCAGCAAAGTATATTGGCCGAAAGTTGAGAGCGACGAGATTACACTACAACTAGTACAACTTCAAGTCAATGGAAGGCTTGTCTGGTGCAGGGGTGGGCCTGGTGGCCCTGGTTTCGGCAGATGCAAAACAGTGAGAGGCCACTCAGGGTTCAAGAGGTCAACTGAACTGCGTTTCATGATCGAGCATAGGGGAGTGATAGGCCATACTATAATGCCATGATTTATAGTATGGCCTATCACTCCGCTATGCTAATATAGTAATAATGGCCATATGCCAGAGGACAGAGATAAGCTGCCCCGGGGACTTTTGTGCAGTAGCCCGTATCACCCACTGCATGCAGAATCACTGCAGAGAGTGCAGTGCAATCATGACAAATCAAAATACATGTACCTGCGTACATGATCATTATGATTGTGCGTCTACACAGCTGCATGCAGTGTTGACTCCGTCGTGCCATGACAACAAAAACAGCGTTTCCGGTGGCGTGACCCACGTCACGTGCCCACGAAGTGGCCATACATGTACTACCACTAAGTAAGTAATTAATTAGTTACTAAATAATGTCCATGTAGCTACCCTCTTGGGTCTTGTTTTGACAAGCATAGGACTGACTGTACATCATGGTACATGGCCTGGCTCCCTGTGGAGAACTATGAAGTGAGAGAGCACCTGTGCGCATGGGGAGAGAGAGAGAGAGAGAGAGAGAGAGAGATGGGGGGGGGGGGGGGGCACGTTAAACTGTACATGATCATTGTATACGAATAGATTCTGAACACTGCTAGAAATGCGATCATTGTACACGTGACCTGTTGGTATGGGTCAGGCCAAGATAAATATGTACTTGGGAGTATTTGGTAGGGTAGAGTTATTGTAGCAAACACCATATGGCGCAGGAATGTGAGTGTAGATACAATCATGTACATGTAGACATCTAAGCGCTGGAATGTGATTTGTGATACGCATGCTGTGCGTGGAGACGGAATCCCAAGCATGGTATGGCTATCTACAGTGTACAAGTACAAGTAGCTCGCGAAGCACATCTCTTCAGCCGCTGCTGCATGGATAATGATATACACCATCAACTCCCGTAGTATAATGTCAGATGGTCGCAAGACCGGGGCTCTACCAACCATGGCGTGGATGGTTGTAGAAAGGTCACTGTTTCCAAACACAGTGGCCCTAATGCTGTCAACCAACAACATAAGTACTTGAGTACACTGCACCAGTAAACCTGTCAAGGTGACCACTGGGATAAGGCGACCACCTGTCCCAGAAGACCACTGCAACCAGGACCAAGGGATGTCATTCCCAGTCAGATGACCCTGGATACGGCGACCACCTGGTAACAGAGACCACATTTTGAACGTCCCTTTCCTTTCGTCTTAGACAGGTTTCACTGTGCCGCGTGTACATGTATGAGGGCACATCCCATATGCTGGAATTTCCAATCTGATCATGATAACCAGTACTACTGGTTTATAAAATAAATATACACGTAAGACTAAGACTAATATAAAGAGGGTATCGATTGCTGAGCCTCTGGCATGCAACGTACTACATGTACATGTACATGTACATGTTACGTACCACTGAATGTGTACAAGTCATGTCATAATACATGATTGTACATAACTGGATGCCATCGAGTTCAAATCCCGGATCGTTATCGTGGTAAAAGACGAGAAAGGGACGCAAGTATACTTGAAGTACTTGTTATGCATTGTTGTCCACCAATTACTTGTTGCTAAGATACTGTTGCAGGTCAGCTGATCAGAACGTGCATGACACTGGCATTCAGCGGCGCCCTGACATTTGGCCCTATCAGTATCACGTCTTGGAACGATGCACTAACCAACCGCCTTCCAGCGTCTACTACTAGTATTCGTTGTTATGACTAGCCACTGATAACTATTGTATTGTGCTGATCCTGTGTTAGTATGGACGTACAGTGTAGTGACATTATGATTACACACAATACAATGTGATTGCATGTACCGGAGGATGTACCCAGAGTGCCGATACTGGCGATAGTGCTCAACACCGCGGAAGCAGAGCGTAATACAGAACAGAACAACATGGACAATCAAGGCTTGTTTGCGGCTACTTCAAGTAGTTTCATGCTCTCGCAATCAACATAATTATACATATACATGTACATGATTGTACATGTCCAATCATGTGAATGGGATTGTATCATAATATAAGTACTAAACAGCCCAGGGAAGTATACAGTATCCTCCCGTCACAACACACGTGATCTGTAAGAAAACATGCACTGTATGTTCACACCAGCAATTGACCTAAAGTTGTGTGATCGCCAGCGGAAAACGCACTATTGCATGTGCCCCCGGGGAGATACATGTAGCAATGATGCACAAACTGCTCCACCAAACAAGTGGCTGCTGTGGCTCGTGTCAATATCGCAGCCCATGGTGCATAATGCCGGGCGAAACCCCGGCAAATGTTGGTACTTTCCTAAAGGTTCCTGGTATGGTTCATTGTATTGGATTAATTAAGAAAAGCTAGAGAAGCAGAATTCGAGGAATTGCCCCGAAGAACTTCGTGATGTTGTTCTGCCAATTTCAATGCTTCCAAGCAGAATCACCAATTTGTCGAGCATTATCCGGCGCTCGATCGCCGCTGCCAGGGGCTTGGAGCGTCACTGTATTCTGCAGTCTGTATTTTATGTACAGTAAAACCTGTCAAGGCGACCACCTGTCCCAGACAACCACTGCAGCCAGGATCAAGAGATGTTATTACCGGTACCAGTCCAATGACACTGGATAAGGAGACCACCTGGTTACAGAGACCACGTTTTGAAGGTCCCTTGAGGGGTCGTCTTAGACAGGTTTCACTGCACATGTACATTGTATTGTACTTTGTAGCACTGCTTCAACCTGGTGAAGGGCCAGGCATGAAACTAAAAACTTAAAGTTGCAACGAAGTGACCCCGATTGAGTATTCGACTGGGTTGAGGAAACCTTTTGATTGTGCTTAGCGGCTGCAATGGAGTTTGGGGAGCTCTCAGAAAATGTAATGTATTGTAACTCCAACAGTCCAAGGATGTTTGAGCTGCAGCTGAGTGCTTCAGTGTTATTGCCGGTTCAATGCCGGATCGCGGAGTGCGCATATCTCATTAGCCCACTTGGCGAACGGTATTGACTTCTCCAGTATCACGCCAGCTGCACGTAATACACGAGGCCCAGAGGAGTTGTCCGTACACTACTTCCTGATATTCATGTACTTCAAGTACGTGTGAGGCTGCGGGAGTGCTTCGTTTGCATGTTTGTTTATTTTTCTCCAAAAGTCACGTATTGTGAGATCTGCTCTCAATCGGAAGAAGAGATCAATGTGCCAGTTGGCCCCTTCTTTTCAGAGTAGCCAACCAAACGCTGTCCGGCTCCAAAGACTCTCCGTTTACTTACAGTCAAAGACAGAACGAACAACATTGGGAGCTGTTAGGATTAATTACAGACAGGAGGAGAGAATGAAGAAGGAAAAAAAGAAGGGAACGAAAAACCTTTGGTTACTAAACTGGCTTTACTTGACTGTATGGATTGCGTCGGTGCTGACACTTTTTTCAAGAATGAAGAAGCTTTGGGTTATAAAGGAATGTGAGCAAGCGGCAAAAGGGAAAACACAACGGTGTAGGGGACTACGGGCGGGGCTATCACTAGCTTCAGCCCAGTTCGTTAGAAGCAGGCACTGGCTCGCCTTAGACTAGGCTTGTGCTCTGGAGCGCATTGGAGCCCGGTCGAGGAACTCCGGTGTTAGATCGCTCCTCCACCCTCAGAACATGAGGACAATGAAAGCTCTCGTGGTAACTTCGGAACCGAACGTTGCCTGTAAACAGCCTGAAGCTCTCTCAGGCTATTGCCAGTATTGGTGAGTCTATTCCTTTCTCTTTTCTGGTTCCCAGTATATCACATCTTAAATACCAATGAGAAACTAATCTGTTGGAGAGCAGATACCGGTATGGTTTTTCCTCTTACTGTAATAGCACTGGGCAGTCCAAGAACACTCAAAAATGTACCAG